CTAGAAAGGTGCTATACAAGTACGGAGCATTTATGTAACACTATTTTACGTGTCCAAAAAATAGGGTGCCAGGGTCGGGGTTAATAACCGAGAAAAAAAAGTGTGAAATTTACAAGAAGACAAATAGGAAATTCCCTGAAATTAATTTCACAAAAATTTTAAAATCACTCTGGTGTTTTCTTCTGAATACGCCCAATCCACAGCAAAGTCTCTGAGGTGCATGATAGTGATTGTGGGCTAAACTCAGGAGTATTTCCTCACTGCTAAATCCGATTGCAAAGTTTAATATAACTTTCACCAGGGCTGGACTGGGACAAAAAATCGGCCCTGGCATTTTTGGCCCAGGCGGCCCACCAAAATCAGTCGGACACCCCTCACCAATCCACCATCCTTCCATTTACGGGCTCAGATTAGGGGCGTGACAAAAAGACAATAATATATTTTAATAGGCCTACTATTTACAAAAAAACATATTGATGAAATAGTTGATAGGGGGGTCTGGGGGTTCTTCTATATTTACATTGCATTGCAGGTTTATTGTGTAAATAAACCTTTCTCATAGCACTTTTATTTGTTAATTAACATTTCTTGGTGCAAGCTATTTTTCAGAAAATTTTTAATGCTTTCAAAAAGTGGTGGCTACATGTCCCCAGCGTCCCCAGTGTAAATGACCCTCCCTCCCAACAGGTTGAGCTAGTCCATGCTCACCGCTTCACCTCCACTCTCCCCCTTCTCTCTCTCCCTCTCAGCCCTGTCACTTTGTCACCCGCTATCACCATAGACTGGCAGTGGCCACAGCGCTCCTTCACTCCTTCAGGTCCCTGTGCTGCTCTACGTCATAGCAAACATATCAGTTGTTTTGAGGGGTAATGCAAGAAACAAAGGAGGTGGGGGCTAGTAAGAGATGTGATTGGGCTGGCCCAGTTTCCGTATAGCAAATTAAGGTGCATCGGCCCACCAGGCATTTGCCCAGTATGCCAGTTCAGCCCTGCTTTCCACTGCATACATACTACACTGCAGACATGTGTGTGATGTTGCAGCCTTGCAAAGTGAAGTTTCTCTCTTATAAATGTGTGAATATAATGTAAGAGAATATTCAAGTTTTTTACTTGTAGATTAATCTTGGAAATTAAATTACTCTCCATCTCGATGGCTCATTTTTTCTATTACAATCGACCTCATGTGCAGTTGTACCTTTACATCTTAATCATATTACACATAAAATACAAAATAGACAATAAGAACACTGGGAAGATAATTAGGCTACAAATTTACTCAATGCGATGCCAACAAGCCTCCCTGGCTTTGTTGTCCGCCACGATATTAGATTTAGCTGTTAACTTGTCTTTACATTCATAATCAATGAATACCAACAGACGGCCGCCTCGTGATTACGCTCCGTGGTGCTCTTTGTGTTTTTGTTAATTAACGCTGTTTTCTCTTAAACATTGGACTTTCAAACCTCGTACTATTCCACCGCTCTTTATTGTTGCACGCTGGTTAAGCTGACACAGCAGGGATTTCGCACTGCACTCCCTTCAGTCCTCCTGGCGAATGTCCGTTCTCTGGCCAACAAAATGGACGAACTGCTGCTCCTCAAGAGAACTAACTCGGACTTCTGTAGATCTGCCGCCCTCTGTTTCGCCGAATCCTGGCTCATCGAGCGCATCCCGGACAGCACACTTCATCTACCAGGATTTAATCTCATCTGTGCAGATCGCGAAAGGGAGCTCACGGTAAAAACACAGGGAGGCGGACTCTGTTTCTATATAAACGAAGGTTGGTGCACAGATGTCACAGTGTTGAAGAAATCATGCAGCCCTCACCTAGAGACATTATTTATAAACTGTAAACCGTTTTAATCACCGCAGGAGTTTTCCTCGTTTGTTCTGGTGGCTGTTTACATTCCACCTCAGGCCTGTTAGTGAGGCGTTACTACACCTGGCCGACCAGATAACTAACATGGAGAAAAAACATCCAGACTCCCTGCTCATTGTTCTTGGGGACTTTAACAAAGCAAACCTCAGCCACGAACTTCCAAAATACAGACAGCATATTAAGGGTCCCACCAGGGACACTAACACACTGGACCACTGCTACACAACATTAAAGGTGCATTACAACATTACATCTCTCACATCACTGATCAATGTCTGGTTCATCTTCTCCCAAAACACAGGCAAAAACTGAAATCTGCTAAACCTGTTGTAAAGAGTGTGAAAAGATGGACCAAGTCAAAGCTGGAGTTACAGGCCTGCTTTGACTGCACTGACTGGAGTGTTTTTGAGGCTGCAGCCACTGACCTGGACGAACTAACTGACATCTTACATCAGTTTTTGTGAGGACATGTGTGTGCCGACTAAAACCTTCCGCACATACAACAACCAAAAACCCTGGTTCACAGCGAAACTCAGGCAGCTTCATCAGACCAAGGAGGAGGCCTTCAGAAGTGGGGACAGAGTCTTGTACAACCAGCCCAGGAACACTCTGACTAAAGAGGTCAAAGCTGCAAAGAGATGCTACGCTGAAAAGCTAAATAACAGCTTTGCAGCCAACGACCCTGCGTCGTTGTGAATAAGCCTCCGAACACTCACAAACTACAAGAGACCATCTGCCAACACTGCTGGTATTCAACGACTGACAGCTGAATGGTTTCTACTGTAGGTTTGAAAAGCGCAGAGTCACACCTCTCCCCCACTCCAACGCCATCTTCAAACAGTCACCTTTTCCCCTCTGACCTCTCACCTGCACTCAAGATCTGTGAAGAGGATGTGAGCCACCTCTTCCAAAGGCAGAAGATCAAGAAGGTTCCTGGACCTGACGGTGTCTCTCTATCCTGCCTGAAAATCTGTGCGGTTCCTCTGAAGAAATACGGAGCGAAAAAACTATGCCTGCACGTCCGAACACGCCCCTTTTATGCAAACGCGCACCACCTCCGATTAAGTTAACACCGAGGCCCAATCCCAATTTCCATCCTCACAGATAGATTAGAAAAGAATGGTTTTTTCTCTACATATCAGAATGGTTTCAGACTTGCTCTTGTAAATAAAAAGGTGGTGGTAGGTGTGTTTTTTGATATAGAGAAGGCTTATGATATGCTGTGGAAAGACGGAGTAATCATTAAGCTGTATGATGCAGGGATTCGGGGCAGAATGATTAATTGGATTAAGGACTTTCTGAGGTCACGGTGTATTCAAGTAAGAGTAGGAGGGAGCTTTTCTGACTCTGTGTTCGTAGAAAATGGGACTCCGCAGGGTAGTGTCATCAGTCCAGTTCTGTTCAATGTAATGATTTGATGAGGTAGGAAGTGGATTTCAGCAATCTTTGTTTGCAGATGATGGAGCAATGTGGAAAAGAGGCCGTAATACTGGGTACATATTTAAACAGATGCAGTGTGATTTGAATAAGGTGCAGGCCTGGAGTGATAAGTGGGGTTTTAGGCTATCATTGAAAGTTGTATGGGGAACCTCTTGAGAGAGCCAGGGTCTTCAAGTTTCTTGGGGTCTGGGTAGATGAAAAGCTAACGTATAAAGAACATTGGTGTATAATTGGTGAATGGTGAATAAATGTGGAAAGATTATTAATATTATGAGGTGTTTGGCTGGGTGTTCTTGGGGTGCAGACAGAAATCTTATGCTGATGATTTATAAAGCTATGATAAGATCAATTTTTGATTATGGGTGTCTTGCATATGGATCAGCAGCTAGGTCCACGCTTAATAAGTTAGATTTGGTTTAATCTAGGGCTTTGAGGATATGTACCGGGGCATTCCAGGTTCCGCTAAGGCTGCGACGTGCAAAATTGGCAATAGATTATTTTGTAAAAATGAAAAGATTTGGGTCTTCAGCTCTTCCTTCAGTTTCTTTGTTAGCAGAGTGTTGGGAGTTTAGAAAGGGTGAGAGTAGGCTTAATAGAGATAGTGTTTTACATTCTGTTAAGACATACGCAGAGGAGCTTAAGCTTAATGAAAGGAAAATGGTGCCTTCTGTCTACTGGCCATCTATCTTTCATTGGCTATTGCCTGAGGCTGATGTAGACATAACTATTAAAAATTCAGTAAAGGAAGGAAGTGTAGGAAATGTTGCACATTATGTACAGGAGCATCTTAGGAAATTATGGTATAGCTCCATAGATATTTATACAGATGGATCTAGAGACCCTGAGAATAAGAAAGTGGTTTATATGTTCCCCAGTTTCATGTTAGACAGTGTCATAGCCTGCCTGATGGTCTTTCAATCTTTACAGCTGAACTGGTAGCAATCATATGGGCTTTGTGGTGGGTAGAAGAAAGTGGGGTGGAGAACGCCATCATTTGTTCTGACTCACTATCTGGCTTGATGGCAATAGGGGGAGAAAGAGGAGGGGCTAGGTTAGATTTAGTTGGGGAGATCTTAACAAGGGTTTATAGATTAGAGAGGCGGGGGTGTAGTGTGGGTTTCTTGTGGGTTCCAGCACATGTGGGGGTTGAGGGGAATGAGGCTCCTGATGAAGCTGCTAGGGCAAGTTTAGGAAGGGAAAATGTGGAGGTGGAGGTGCCATTTGACAGACTGGAGTGCCGTAGCATCATTAAGGAAAGACTGACACAACAATGGCAGCACGAGTGGAGTAAAGACACCAGCGGGAGAAAGTTCTATGACGTAAAACCAGTAGTCAAACCTGGGAACACAATTATCTTGCCTCGGATGGATCAGATTAAGTTGGCCCGATTAAGACTGGGTCATTGTGGATTGGCAAGTGGGCTGTTCCTGGTGGGAAAGCACAGGGACAGCAAGTGCCAAGTCTGTGGAGCACAGGAGTCTGTCAAGCATGTCATCATGTTCTGTTCGAGATATGCTGAGGAAAGGAGATTGTTGTTCATTGGCCTAAACGTTCTGGAAGTTGATCTATTATCTGTAAAAACTCTGATGGGTGATGGTCCTAATCAAACAGAAAGAGCATTGGAACTATATTGGAAAATATAGGTCAGGGGGAGCTTTAATGAAGACTGTCTTTATCACCAGTGGGAGGCAGCAATGCTCTCAGTGCACACAAGAAGAAGAGGAGGACAGAGTGGGCGGGGCCAGCTGCTGTAAGACCTGCGGTGGCAAACCTAGTTAGCTGTCCCCCAGATCTCTCCGTCCTGACCTTGGACTCCGTCGCCCTGAAGCTCTCCGCTCCCTGGCGTTTGGTGAGAAGAAGAAGGTGAGGATGTTGCTGTTAGTTCTCCGAGTCAGCAGAAGGTTAATGTGAGTTAGCAGCAGCTGCTGAATGCATCAGGAGATCAGAAGGCAGCATCAGTCTGAAGGTTTAGAGGAGCAGCTGCTTCTTCATAGGACAGCAGAACAGCAGCCAGCTGTGACCTCTGGTCCAGATCCACAGAGGAGGGTCACCGGGCCGAGGTTCATTCACCACAATCACAAGCAGCTTTATTGCACAGATGAGGAACGTGACTCTGGATTGGACAAAGCTCCCGATGTGCTGACTGACAGGCTGCAGTGTAGAGAACACAAGTAGACACACTGTGAACAACAACAGTGCAGGGAGGGAATTATTATTATGTACATGATACACAGAGCAAAGGAAGCAGGAAGTATTATTGTGCAGGTGTTATGAAGTAGGTGGCTTTGGTGTACAGTTTATACAACATGACAGTATGAACAGCTCTGAAATAGAGAAGGAGTCGACCGGAGGCAGACGGCGAGGAGGCCGCCTTAGTGGCTCAGAATCTTGTCCCCACGCCAGCTGATAAACAGATGATCTGATGCTCTGAATGTTTTCTCCTCTGTGTCTCCAGCCTGGTCCGGTTCTCCGCCGTCGTTCCCGGTCTGAAGTTCCACACCACAGCCTCTCCCATGACGGGTGAGTCTGCCGCGGCAGAAACCTTTCACTCTGTCGGGGTCATGTGACCGAGCCGCAGTTTGAAGGCTGAAAGCGTTGGTCGATCGGCCGACTGACAATCGATCGATCGATAATCGGTTCTTTATGAATCAGAACGTGGCAGAAGGTTCGTTCTCCGAGCTCAGAGCTTCAGCAGCGTCCTGTTACGTTCTCGCTGATGGCGTTCTGTGCGTGCAGGTGCGACGGTGCAGCAGTTCGAGGAGGCCAAGAGCAAACTGTCGGCGCTGAAGAACGACCCGGGCAACGAGGCCAAGCTGAAAATCTACGCTCTCTTCAAACAGGTGGGAGGTGTTCCACATGTTTGTGCTCTGCTCTGTTTCTTTAACTTGTTTCTGAAACCATGGAAACCTGTTCTGGTACAACCCCTAAATAAGAAGAACAGCTCCTGAGTTTCAGCAGCTCTTCTGCTCACATTCAGAATGTCTCCCACAGATCTGTGCTCTCTGACATGTTGAACAAAGGGTTTCTGCTTCCACATCCAAATGCTGCAAAGGTTCGTTAGTAAAAGCTGAAACGTGTCTCTAACTGATGGACGTGTCTGCTGAAAGGCCGCTGTGACACTGTTACACATGTAGGACTGAATGTTCCCACAGTATCACGTCTTACTGGAACGTTGGGTTCATTCTGTTAACAGCAGATCTGCTTTGACTCTGTCTGCAGTATGTTGTATATTAATTACACATGTAACCCTCCTCCTCCTCCTCCTCCTCCTCCTCCTCCTCCTCCTGCAGGCCACTCAGGGTCCCTGCAACACCCCCAAACCAGGCATGCTGGACTTTGTCAACAAGGTTAAATGGGAGGCGTGGAAATCTCTGGGCTCCGTACCACAGGTACTCCTGCTGCAGGATCTGTGTATATATGGATTATAATTATAGATGGATTCATGTGTTCATCATCAGTTTAATGGTGCAGCTCATTTTAATGACCTCATATTCTGCTGGCAGATCAATAATCATTTATCTAAATCATAAGAACGCATCTTAATCTATTTTGTCTGTAAAGTAACAAAAGCTTTCAAATAAAGTGAGCAGCTGCACCGGTATTAAAGTCGCTCAGCAGTTAAATAACAAATGATTCCTTTATTGACGCTCACGTCTTTGTGTCGCTCAGGATGAAGCCAGGCAGCAGTACTGCGACCTGATTGGCTCCCTGGTGGCGGCAGAAGGTGGAAGCTCCGCCCAGGTGGCAGCTCAGCCCGCTGGGAGCGGGACGACGTACGAGACGCTATTGGTCACCACGGAGGACGGCATCACCACCATCAAACTGAACCGACCGGCCAAGAAGAACGCCATCACTACTGAGGTGTGTGTTTCAAACCTGTTGTTCGGTATAACGTCCTCGACAGACTCTCTCTGTCTCCCAGTTTCTGGTTTTGTGTTTTCATGCTGCTTCCTCTTCTCTCACAGATGTACTCTGAGATCATGGCAGCTCTGCAGCAGGCGGCTAAAGACGACTCGGTCCTCACTGTTTTCACTGGTACACACACACACACACACACACGCAGAGCGCTGATTGGCCGTCTGTGTCGTAGGGCTGGGCGTGGTCTGCAGTAAAACATCAGGATGGATGACGGCGTTGGGGGCGGGGTAGCGGCCGCCTAATAGACGGGTTTCTTACAGTTACTTTCAACCGTCGCAGCCCGTCCTTAAAAGTGACGGGAAACCTGTTCAGCAGCGCGTTTTAGAAATGAATCCACTTTACTGGAACAATAATGAACCTGAGGAGTCAACAAGCAGCCAAAGTGAAAACACTGCAGCCTCTCAGGCCAGAGGATGCTGCATCCTACAGGCTATAAAAAATATAAAACAGCAGCAGTATGATTTATGCATAAAAGCATAAAGAATTAGCAAGTGTCTCGACTAATGTTTCTGTTTTGAAGAAGTATTCAGCACTTTTATGAAGCACAAACGTTGCTTAACGCCACTCTCTCCTGCCGGGTGGACGCTTCACTGGCAGCGGCTGCCGGAGTTTCTTTCTACAGGCTAAGTTTCACGTTGCTGCTTTAGCAGGTGCTTCAATACAAAAGTGTTCGCGGATGAAAGCAAAGTTTCCAACCATGTTGTTTGCATCTCTGAGTGTGACGTCGGGTGTCGCTGACCTGCAGCGCAGTCATGAAACACAAACAGATCCGACTCTGAAATGGCCGTTTATTATTGAGTCAACAAGAATTTAGGAACAATGCGTAATCTACGTTGATTGCAGCGGTTGACTTCTGTTTCTGAGCTCCTGAATGTTTAAGTGAACATCAGTAAACGTTCCTGCAGCTCTGAACTGAAACTTTAATGCTTCTCAGGGTCACGCTGACGGATTACTGATAATTCTCTCTCTCCTCTGCAGGAGCTGGAGATTTTTACTCCAGTGGAAACGACCTGAGCAACTTCACCAAGATCCCCGAGGAAGGGGTGGAGGAGAGCGCCAAACGTGGGGGAGAGCTGCTCCGGTGAGCACTGATTGGTTGATGGTTTTAGAAAGTGGCTCATGTATGAACACCAGGACCAGGATGATGCAGACGGACCCCTCTGTCCCTGCTGACACCTGTGGTCTGTACTATGAAGCGAGGTAACCGGCTTATCCAGGTAACTTCAGGTGTCCCGATTAACCTGTACTACCGAGGTCTCTTGCCGTGGCGATTTACGCCGCATCTCTAAACTGCTCTGAGCAGGTTTTGTTGGTGGTTAACTGGATTTCACATATTCAGATTGACTATTTTACGTGTCCAAATAACACGGAGCCAGGGTCGGGGTTAAGAGGCTAACTCAGAACAAAAATCGGAAATTCCCTGAAACTAATGTTACAAAAAATCTAAATCACTCCGAAGTCTCTGAGGCGCACGATGGTGACTGTGGACTAAACGCAGTATTTCCTCACTGCTAAATCCGATTGTGAAGTCTAATATAACTTTCTACTGTACAGAATACACCGCAGAGAACGTTCAAGTGTTTTACGTGTAGATCAGTCTCGGATTATTCCCCCTCTCCGCTGGCTCCTTTTTTACATGCAGCTGTACCTTTTACATCTTAATCATATTACACGTAAAAGAAGAGCCCGTAAAATAGAGAATAGAGATTTGAACTACAACAAGAACACTGTGCCAACGAGCCTCGCTGGCTCTGTCGGCCACCACGATATTAGATTTAGCCGCTAACGTGTCTTTAAACGCCTCATATCCTGACACACTATCAACGTGTTTTCTGGGGAAAATTACGCAGCATGCGAACGCGCACCAACTCCAGTTAGGTTAACACCGACTCTACTACCCAACATCTTGTCCAGCGTCGTAGTTTAACTGAGTGGGTCGGACTTCGTGGTGCAGCCTCGGGTCTGGATTTCAAAGGTGTGTCAGCTGCTACTTCAGTCAGCACGTCTTTTTAAATGAATGAACTCCATCAGCTGATATATGATGCGTTCACTTAACGCAGGACTCGCGGACGCCTGAGCGTCCTGCAGTGTCTCAGTTTGGGTTCAGGTTCAGGACTCTCTCTCCTTCATCAGCAGGGAGTACGTGAAGGCCTACATCGACTTCCCGAAGCCGCTGGTCGCCGTGGTGAACGGACCGGCTGTGGGGATCGCAGTCACAGTGTTGGGACTGTTCGACCTGGTCTACGCTACAGAGAGGGTACGCACACGCACGCACACACCAGACGCTGACGTCAGAAACAGGTTCACCTCATGAACCAGTCTCTCTCCCCCCCCCACAGGCCACCTTCCAGACTCCCTTCAGCCAGCTGGGTCAGAGCGCCGAGGGCTGCTCCTCCTACACCTTCCCCAAAATAATGGGCCTCGCCAAGGTACACACAGAAGAAGAAGAGGACGCAGCTGACTTCTTTAAAAGCTCAGACGGTTCAATGTCGTGTAAAAATTCAAGACTTGGGCAGATAAGAAAGCTTGAACTTTTACCAACATTTTTATTATCAGCAAAAACAGACACCAATTAGAATACAAAAGTTCCACCGGAGTGTGTCAGAGATCGGTGCAAAATAGAGCCCCATTCTGTTACCAGAACAGAGACCCGAGTCCACATGAAAACCATGTAACGACTTTCACCTCCTTTTATAGCTCTGTTTCTTGGCTTCACATCATCTCTTGGCTCTCTTTCCTACTGCACCTGAATCTGGGAAAGTCCCTGACTGCCTGCTCCTCCTCTCTGTGTCCTCTGCATGCGCTCTGCTTGATCGTGCCATTTCTTCCATAACCTGACTTTTGTGGAATAAACTGGTGTTGTTTGTGCTCTGTGCCAGAAACGGGACATTCTTACTGTGATGGACTATATTGATGTATGTTTTTGTAATACAACTTTCACAAAACCTGCTTCTATTTTTTTTCCTTTGCAGGTGTTTTTGATGCTGCCTCACTCTGCTTGCTCACACACACATGAGCCTGGGCAGTTAGATACAGAAAGGAGCACACACTCAGAGCTGTAGAGTTTTAACACTTTGATCTAACTTTACACTATAAAATAACACTTTACATGATGACAATGTAGACCACCCTGTGCTGCTTCACTTGGACTCACAGCTGGTGATAGTCAAAGTCGTCTCTGTGGTGATGCAGGTCTTGCCTGCTGCTGCGTCTGCCTCACGAGACCTCATAGGAGAGTGGCCTCCTCTGATCTTTGACTGGCTGTGAAGGATTATTAAGCTTGCTTGCAACTGTATCTTACTATTACCAATAAGTGAACTTTATCCTACTGTTTGTAGTTTAGAGACTTTAACTATTGTTTCTATCTGTCTAATCTTTTTCTAGATATCCTAGATATTATATTTGCTTGCAATTTAACCCTTCTGACCTCCTGTATATCTGTGTATTGAATTACGTTGCTACTGGACGTACAAATAGCAAATCTTGAAATAACACTCCATTGTTCATTAGTGCACTAAAATTCTTCCATTCTTCAAACTAGTTTACTAATACTACCTCCAAAACAGAAA